GAGGAGTGAGCGGGCGTGCTGTTCAGGACATTTGTTATTATATGTATATATGTTTTGCCACGCTAGACTTCCGCTAAAACTTTCAGTACTTATTATCAGTTTTTGTTCCGATGTTAGTCGGATAAGATGTTATAACCGTTTTTAATTATCAGTTTAAAAATTTTAACAGTTTTCAGAAAAATTAAGTTTTTCACGGTAGCATCCCGAATCAGTTTTCAGAAAATAAGTATTTTATTTTATTTAGAAAATTGCGAAAAATTGCGTACTCTGATAGTATTATAAAGTCGGGGTGTTACAATTGGTATCAGAGCACGTTTCTGCGTGCGTCTCTGAAAAGTTCTTAGTCAGTTGTTCAGAAAAACCTGAACCGTCACGCTCACGCCTCGCCAACTCCAGGCAAGTGCTGATTCAGTTTTCAGTTATAAATATATTACTTTGTCTATGCTCAGAAATCAGTAATTAGACTTAGTTAAGATGCTCGATTCAGATTCAGACTTTAGAGTTACGATATAACTCTAGAATTTAGTAGATTCAGACCTGACTTTAGAAATCAGTACACTCAGATATGACTCTAGACTTTAGTATCTTTCGATATGACTCTAGAGTTCCTCAGGTTTCATGTCAGTATTTATCGGCCATTCTTGGCTACTCGTCAAGAGATTTGTGTGCCTCAGTAATCAGTCAGAAATCATCACGTGTTCAATAATTTTGAACTTTCTCAATGTTCAGATGCCGCCACGTAGGGAACCCGATCATCCAGTTCCTACTCAGGCTACAGTGGTCGCGCAGTTCCGCGACTATCATGCCGAAAAGTTCTCAGGGCAGGGAGATCCTCGCATAGTTGACGAGTGGATTCAAGGCTTGGAGTTTATCTTCGAGGTCATGGAGTGCCCTGAGAGATATCGCGTCATTTGCGCTCAGCTTCAGCTCACCGGTGATGCCAGGCTCTGGTGGAACGCTTACTGGAGCATGCGTCCCGGCGAAAAGGCAGGTTGTACGTGGGAGATGTTCAAGGAGTTAGTCCACGAGAAGTACTATCCCACATACTACCTAGCCGAGATGGAGCGTCAGTTTCTATCGCTCCAGCAGGGTACTCGTACTGTTGACGAGTACGAGAGGGAATTCACGAGACTTGCAGCTTTTGTTCCTGATTTGGTCCGCACGGAGGCCCAGCGAGCGCAGAGTTTCATTGACGGGCTTTACCCAGCAGTCCGTCATAACATCGTAGGCCACGGGACACAGACGTACGCACGTGCAGTCTCCATTGCCCAGGAGGTGGATGCCAGCATTAGGAGGGAGGCAGTCCGTGAGCAGTTCCAGCCATCCGCCCCTGCCCAGTCATCTTCAGTTCCACCGTTGCCAGCTCTACCATCTACCCAGCCGCCAAAGAACAACAAGAGGAAGGGGAAAGGTGCCCCGGCAGATAAGAGGACCCGACGTAGGCTACAGCAGATCCCTCAGTGCCCGACATGCGGACGACTTCACCGAGGCGAGTGTCGCTTTGGTCAGGATGTGTGCTACTATTGTCACGAGCCCGGACACTTCACGAACCGTTGTCCGAAGAAGGCGCAGTAGCCTCTGCAGCAGCAGCAGCCACCGCAGCAGCAGCAGCCCCGTCAGCAGGCACAGAGGCAGCCTCAGCAGCAGCAGCAGAGGGGCAGACAGCAGGCCCGAGTTTATGCCGTCGATCAGGCAGAGGCCGAGCAGCAGCCAGGTACCATGTCCGGAATGGTTATTCTTAATAATGTTCCTGTGTTTGCTTTATTCGATACTGGAGCGACACATACTTTCATTTCACGACGATGTCTTGACGCCATCGGAGTTCGCGCTACTACCGCTATCGATCCTCTCGAGGTGAGTTTGGCCTCGGGACGAAAGATAGTGACTTCAGCTAAAGCTTCAGATGTTAGCCTTTCCATCGGTGGCCGAGTTTTGTCTACCGACGCATTTGTTCTCGAGATGAGAGACTTTGATCTTATTCTCGGAATGGATTGGCTATCTTTTTATCATGCGGATATCAGATGTCACGACCGGGAGATTACGCTTTATTTTCCGGGAGACGAGTCGATTACTTTCTTCGGCTCTAGAAATCGTTCTTTGCCTCATGTTGTTTCGATGGCGAAAGGTACTAAGTTGCTACGACGAGGCAACTGCCAGGGTTATCTGGTGAGACTTGTCGACAATTCTCAGAAAGCACGTTCACCTCACGATGTTCCAGTCGTTCGAGAGTTTGTGGACGTATTCCCAGACGAACTTCCAGGAGGACCGCCTAACCGGTAGGTGGAGTTCTCTATCGATCTCATTCCAGGGGCCGGTCCAGTGTCCAAAGCCCCGTACCGCATGGCGCCTAAGGAGTTGCAGGAGCTTAAGACTCAGATTCAGGAGCTGTTACGACTCGGTTTCATCCGACCGAGCGTGTCACCTTGGGGAGCACCCGTTCTCTTTGTTAAGAAAAAAGACGGATCCATGCGCATGTGTATCGACTACCGGGATCTTAACCGGTTGACGATCAAGAACAAGTACCCGCTTCCCAGGATCGACGACTTATTTGATCAGTTGAGGGGAGCCTGTGTGTTCTCAAAGATTGATTTACGATCAGGCTACCATCAGCTGAAGATTAAGGAGTCAGATATCGCTAAGACCGCTTTCAGGACTCGTTACGGCCATTGCGAGTTTGTTGTCATGCCTTTCGATCTCAGCAATGCGCCAGCTGTTTTCATGGACCTCATGAACCGTATCTTTCATCCCTACCTCGATCAGTTTGTTATTGTCTTTATCGACGATATTCTTATTTATTCGAAGAGCCAGAAGGAGCACGAGGAGCATCTGAGGGTGGTTCTTGAAACCCTCAGACGAGAAAAGTTGTTTGCAAAATTCTCCAAATGCGAGTTCTGGCTCCAGCGAGTATCCTTTCTGGGTCATGTGATTACTCAGGCAGGTATCGAGGTGGATCCTTCCAAGGTCTCAGCTGTTCAGAACTGGTCGACACCGAGGAGTCCGTCCGAGGTTCGCAGTTTTCTCGGTCTAGCTGGATACTATCGCAGGTTCATCAAGGGCTTTTCCAAGATCGCTCTCCCTCTATCCCAGCTGACGAGGAAGTCTGTGAAGTTCGAGTGGACTGACCGATGTGAGTCGAGCTTTCAGGAGCTCAAGAGGAGATTAACTTCAGCACCGGTGTTGACTATTCCCGATCCTTCCCGGAGTTTCACCATCTTCAGCGATGGTTCGAGACAAGGCTTGGGATGTGTCCTTATGCAGGACGGCCAGGTCGTTGCGTATGCTTCACGTCAGCTTAAGCCTCATGAGCAGAACTATCCGACGCACGACTTGGAGTTAGCAGCAGTCGTTCATGCTCTCAAGATTTGGCGACACTATCTTTACGGCGGTCATTGTGAGATTTTCACAGATCATAAGAGCTTACAGTATATCTTTACTCAGAAGGAGCTCAACATGAGACAGCGCCGTTGGTTAGAGCTCGTCAAGGATTACGACTGCTCTATTCAGTATCATCCGGGGAAGGCCAACGTCGTTGCTGACGCCCTAAGCCGAAAGGTGAGGGGTGACTTGACGTACGTCATCACTCAGCAGAGTCCATTGATTCAGGAGTTTGCCCGGATGCAGCTTCAGGCGATTGATGCACTTCCCATAGCAGTTTCGGGGAGTACCAGTGCTAGTGTCAGTGCTATGCAGCTTCAGCCGACGCTGAGAGAGAGAATCTGGCGAGAGCAGGCTTCTGACGAGTTCATTCGTGTCATGGAGGCCAAGGTTCGAGCCGGAGGCGTCGAGGGTTTTCAGCTAGGTGCCGATGGTGCCCTAGAGTTCAGAGGCAGGATCGTGGTCCCGAAGGTCGAGACGTTGCGGAAGGAAATTTTATCAGAGGCTCATACCGCACCCTATCGGGCCCATCCCGGGAGCACGAAGATGTATCACGACCTGAAAGGGTCGTTCTGGTGGCGAGGTATGAAGAAGGACGTCGCCGAGTTTGTTAGGAGCTGTTTTACCTGTCAGCAAGTCAAGGCCGAACATCAGAGTCCGATTGGCCTCCTGCAGCCACTGCCGATTCCGAGGTGGAAGTGGGAGGAAGTCACGATGGATTTCGTTACGGGATTGCCGAGGTCGTCTGAACATCACGACGCTATCTAGGTCGTGGTCGACAGATTTACTAAGGTCGCGCATTTCTTACCCTTTTCGATGAAGATGTCTTTGGACAAGTTGGCTGAGATATATACTCGTGGGATTATCCGACTCCACGGAGTGCCCGTCACTATTGTATCAGACAGAGATCCCATATTCGTCAGCAGATTCTGGCACAGCTTACATGAGACGATGGGCACGAAGCTAGAGTTCAGTTCAGCCTATCATCCGGAGACAGACGGTCAGTCAGAGCGGACTATTCAGACGCTGGAGGATATGCTTCGCGCCTTGGTTGTTGACAGGGGTGCTAAGTGGGAGTCGCTGTTCCCGTACGCCGAGTTCGCGTATAACAACAGCTACCATTCTTCTATTCAGATGGCTCCGTACGAGGCACTTTACGGTCGCAAATGTCGTTCCCCTCTTTATTGGGACAACGTCGGAGAGCGACGAGTACTCGGTCCCAAGTTGATCGAGGAGACAGCAGATCAGGTCGAGTTGATCCGGTAGAGACTCAAGACAGCGCAGAGTCGACAGAAATCTTCCGCCGATCATCATCGATGAGAACTTCAGTTCGAGGTTGGAGAGCCAGCCTTTCTACGAGTTCGTCCGATTCGCGGAGTTGTGCGATTCGGAAAGAGAGGGAAGCTGCACCCTCGATTCATCGGTCCGTTCGAGGTTCTCGAGCGAGTAGGCGAGGTCGCGTATTGTTTAGCCCTACCTCCCGAGTTATCAGGCATTCATAATGTATTTCAAGCATCGATGTTGCGTAAGTACGTGTGCGACCCCGATCATGTTATTCCCCATTCCGATATTCAGGTTCAGCCAGATCTTTCGTACGAGGAGCGACCGGTAGCTGTATTAGACCGTCAGGTTCGTCGGCTCCAGAAGCGAGACATTCCCCTCGTGCGTATTCAGTGGGATCGCCACGGAGCTACTTGGGAGGAAGAGTCAGATATACGCGCTCGTTTTCCAGATTTTCAGTTCTGATGTACATATTTTCTTGTTCTATGTACATAGTTCATGTATTTTCAGTTATGTTTTGAATTTCCGAGGACGGAAATTTTGTAAGGAGGGAGGATTGTAATATCCTGTTAATTTCAGTATAAATTATATTTTTAGTTCCGATATTAATTTTCGGAATTAATTATTTTCAGTCTTTTCAGTCGAGATTACCGAAAATTATTTTCGACGTACCGTTTACGTTCGAAATAATTTTGGTAATTAAGTGTTATGCTTAATTAATTAATTAAGCTTTAATTGAAATTAATCACCATTAGCCTTATGTAATGTGTTCGGATTTTTGCCTATTTAGTCTCTAAAAGCCGTGCATTATATAAGTAAGTGTTGGGAATTTTTTTTTAAATTCTCCTTCCATATAAAGTCGTACCATTTAGTGGGAGTTTGAAATGAATTGGTCCAATTTTTCTTCATTATTAAGCATAATAACGTGGCATCATTTTGAGATTATATGATGCTTAGTCATTTAAGTATTATCTAAGCTCCCTACAAGTGTCCTTATGTGGCTAAAACACATGATTCCATCATCATTTTTCCTTTCGGTGGATGTGTATATAAGGATGGGTTGGAGGAATTTTTCCCACCATTTTCCCTACATATGTTCATTATAAGACATTTCCCTCATATATGCTTATTATAAGCTTAAGCCATCATACTTATATAAGTTCAGTTTAAGTATTCAAATACCGAGAGAATTAGTGAGTTGTGGGAAATCCTAAGTGTTATTCGTAAGTGATTGCCGAGAGTACCGCAAGCACCGTAACCTATCGCCGAGCCGTCGCGCCGTACCGCAAGCAGTTCGCGTACTGTAGGCTATCGCAAGCAGCAATCATCGCACGCGTAGCCGAAGTCCTTCACGGCAGTCAGCACATCACTCATCGGTCAGGTGTACGCGAGCATTTTCGAGTGTTGTAGTGGTCCGTCGCCGCACCGCAAGCCACCGCACAGCGTCGCACACGCGCGGAGGGTCACGGCCGAGTACGGGAGTTCGA